ATAGACAGGGACAAAGATTGTAGTCTCTCCCATTCTAAAAAACAAAATTTTTAAAAAGAAAGAAAAGAACCTTGCTGGACTCTACAGAGACCCCTTGATTCTCTCCCATCTCCCTCCTCCCTTTCATAGACTGCTTGAAAGAGTTGTCTACAGTCTCTGTCTCCACTCCCTTCCCTCTCACTTATCCTTCAGCCCACTACAATAGCCTACTAACCCTAATGGGTCGTCAAGATTGCCCCCACCAAGGGTACCCACTACACACAGCAAATGCTGCTCTGTCCTCTTCTTACTTGATATCTAAACAGTATTTGACATGGATGGTCACTGGCCTTTGGAAACTCTCTTTTCCTGCTTCTGAGAAACTACACTCTTCTCCTGTCTGGCTGCTTCACCTTTCATTTTCATTCTTTATTTTTTATTTTTTTTGGTTACATTACAAAATTGAAGTTTGTTTTAACAAGTCAAACCATATAGAAGTTTATAAAGAAAAAACTCTTCCATCCCCACCTCACCTCCCTCTTTTCAAGGTAACCAGTATTAACTATGTGTGTAGCCTCAAACAGCTTTCTCTAGCCTCATAAAAACATACACACACATACACACACTTGTATATCAACAGCTCCTTAACCTTCTGTTTTGTTTTTCCTGATGGAATCATATCACTGTAACAAATGCTTTTTAAATAGCCACATAATATTTCATGGCATGGATTTATTTTTTATTAAACCATTCGCCTAGCAACAGACCTTCAGGTTGTTTGTAATTCTTAGCCATTTGATAGTGCTGCAATAAATATTCTTGTATATACTCATATATGTCCTTTAGTAGTGGGAAATATATTTCTTAATAACTAAAACTGAGTTTGTTGGGTCAAAGGTTATGAACATTTTACATTTCAGTAGAATTTAATAGATTATTTTTCAAAAAATTTTGCAGCAATTCACACTTGGACCCATGAATTTGCATCAGTATGAGAGAGCCTGTTTCCCCTCGTTCTGAATAACTAGATAACACTGGCTATGACCACTGGCTTTATAATTTAATGTTGGCAATCTGACAGCTGGAAAATGGTATCCCAATTTAGATTCAATGCATGAAGCTGGGCAACTTTTCACTTGTTTATTGGTCATTTACATTTCTTCTATTTTCGGATCAAATCCATTACCAATTTTGCTTTAATGTTCCTGTTTGTTGTTTATTAGGTTCACTAACCCTTTTCTATCATGTGCATAACAAATATTTTCTCTCAGCCTAGCTTTTGACTTTTGCTTTGTTTGGGGACTCTTCAGCCATCACAGAAAACTTAAATTTTGACAGTTAAGTCTGATCAATAACTCTAAGGTTATATA